TTTAATTTTTTTATATAGATACGGCAAGTTTTGTTTAGTAATAATCTCTTTCTTATTGAGGTACTTAGATGGATAGAGCAGTTCAGAAAAAATAGGTAAAACGAAGTGGATAGTTTTTATACGACCTCTAAAACTGTTCACAACTTCAAATATGGTTCCGGAGCAGTGTCATTTGCTTTTCCAAGTCTCACATCACAACAAATTAGGATTTTGGGGGTTTAGATTCCGAACAAAACACCAACAAATTTGGACCAGACTCCAGAGAATAGAAGACCAATACAATGCTACATCAGTACATAAATTGTGCTGAGAAGATAAAAAAAGGTATAATAATGCTTCTGAAACTAGCTTTTTTGGTTTTTCATTCACCCCCCACAATCTAGAGCTCAAGTTTTGATTTACCATGCTTCCTTCCAAGGATCTGCAATGCATCATAATGACCATAAGTATGATAGAGAACTTTTACTGGATTTTCCTTGCCGTATTCTTCGCCGTACTCAGCAATGGTAATCAGGCCACCAGCATCTTTGTCATGCATGTAGACAGTTATTGGCATCCTACATTCATCATCAATCATGGGCTCCAGTTAATCAAAGCATTCGATGTTTTATTTTTGTATATTTGGAAAAAAAGAATAATAATAATAATAATATAAGGAAAAGGAAAAAGCGAAGAGAGGAAGAAGATGATCTTCCATGAAATAAATTATTAACAGAGGTTTTCCCAGCAATGTAAGAAAGATATGTTTCTCTGACAACAATACTTACTCGAGAACATGTGAAGCCATGAGAAGTTCAGGTTCACCTCCCCAAACATTTGGCTTTCTGATTTTTGAGACATATGTATCGAAATCTCCTTCAACAAACCTGTTGGCATTCTAAAGCTATCAGAAACAAGTTCAGAATGTCAACTATCTTGGGTAAAGACGGCACTGGTTTTAACATTTTCATACAAAGAGTAAAGATTAATTGGTCCTATTTACAGGAAGAACATGCTTGGATACAATATGTAACTAGATTTGGAAGGTATGATTAAATTTAAAAGTTAAAGCCGCTAGAAAACTCACCATTCTGTTTCCTTGCTTCTTTTGACAAACTCATCTGCAACCTGACAAATTAACAGGCCAAGAGAAATCAGGGGGACTTAGTGCTAGAAACATTTCAAAAACGCACTTGTCTGCATTTATGCATAAGAAAATGTATCAGCCTTAACAGAATAAGGGATTGCAACAAAAGGCTTATGATTTGCAAGAAACGGTACTATCATTTGACTTGCCAAATTTTGCACTAAAAATAAAACTAAAACTAAAAAAAGGATCAGATCCCAATGTCCTTTCAACAATTAAATAAGTGAATAAATCATCTGCAAAACATGCTTCATATAATAAAGCAAGGGAAAGCCAAACTATTAAATTTATGATTAGCATACACAGAGAGAGAAATACCTTAGCCCTCAACTCATCTGCTAACTGTCTTTGAAGATGCTCATTAGGGGCTGGTCTCCCAGATCTTAAGCAAGTCCCATGAGCCACAGAGCGGAACAAACATCTCCCATCTCCAGGAATTTCTGAACAATAAAGTGTTTAGAGTAACAACTAACAAGTGCACTGAAAATCCAATTAGAATTAAGTTAACATATACCATGTACTTATAGGAATTGTCACTACCAGCAACAATTCAAATGTTTGTTTTATAAAAATAGGATGTCAAAAACTAAGGATCAATTTGCCACTCACCAATAACAGAATAGTCAGTGTAGACTGTCTTCCCATGAGAGAATTTACCATGAGAAGATATCTTCCTTCTAAACGAGAAAATGCCCATGATCCGTCTACAGCAGTGCAGACCCTGTGCCCCTACACAAGTTCTTCCTGAATCCTTATTTCTGAGGTGACAATAAGCAACACCAACATGATTCCAACCCCAAATGCCAAAATCCCCAGTTAACTTGTACAAAATTCTATATCCAAACCCATGATATCATCTACACAACAAGACACTAATTCGACCTCCGACTTGCAAAATGGACTCCTATCATCTAATCATAATGCACAATATAGTCACATATCCATCAATTAATACCATATCACAATTTCTGGACCTTCCCAACAGATTGCAAAAGTTTTGAATTCTCTTACTCTTTTTGTATCCCAAAATTTTTCCATATTTCTGAATTTCAAGTTCTTACTACAATGTATGAAGTTAAAACTTTTATCGGAGTAAAAAATCTGGAAAAATATCCGATAATAAACAGCGGAACAAAAATTATAATCTGCAACAACTTCATGGAATCCCTAACATACGAGTCAATTCGGGACTCTAGATAACAATAATTTCACAGTAATTAATCCCATTACTTACAGCATTGGAGCGATTAAAATTGCATAAATGGAAATGATGATTGGAAAATAAAATAAGAATGAAATGAAATGAAATTGGAGATGAAGAAACAGAGAAGAAATGGAAGATCAAAGCAAAGAATACCTGAGAAAATTAAGTAGAATCAAATGACACTTTGAGCGTAAGAAAGTAAAGGATTCTTCTTCTTCTTCTTCTTTTTTCGCTGAAATTTTCCTTTTCGATTCTTGGATATTCTTTTCTCCGAAGACTCCAACTTCGTCGTCAACGATATAAAATAAATAAATGATGAAAAGTTAAATTTGCATTTTTTTTTTAAAACCCGAAAACTTTTTTTTTGAACAGTAGCTGAAATTGCATTAAATTAGTGAGGTTAAATCCTCAATTTGGTCCCTGAACTATTAACAGATCCACAATTTGGTTCTTAAACTAAAAAAATCTTTGATTTGGTCCTTAAATTATTGTATAGACCCCCAATTTGGTCCTACTATTTACCAATTTACTCCAAGTTGGTCCTTCCGTACAAAAACCAACTGACATGTTTTATTATTAACATGACACGTAGCCATTAAATTATTGTTTTTCACCATTAAGTTATTGTTTTTCGCCATTAAGTAACAGAAACATCAGTTGTTTTTTGTACGAAAGGATCAACTTAAGGCAAATTGGTAAACAGTAGGAACCAAATTGTGAGTTTGTACAATAATTCAGGGATCAAATTAGGGATTTTTTTAATTCATGGATCAAATCGAGGGTCTATACAATAGTTCAGGGATCAAATCAAAAATCTGTACAATAGTTCAGGTATCAAATCGAAGGTCTGTACAATAATTTAGAGACCAAATTAGGGATTTAACCTATTAGTTATGATTTACATCCGAGTACAACAATTGCACCTGGTTAGAGGCGGACAGGGAGCTCAATATGGTGGACATTGGCCCTTAAGTGTAAATTTGGTTACCCAGTCAGCTACTTTGTTTGCTTGCCTAGATATATACATAAACTGACAAGATTCAAAATTACAGAAAAATAGCCTAATAGACTAAATCAAAGGTTCAATCTACCATTGCACTGCCATTTCTTTCTTCACCATCTAAATCAAATCTTGGTTATCAAACTCAAAAATAGCCATGTGCACTCCAAGAGAAAGTGCCACTCCTATTACAGCTCGAAGAGCTAATGCCTCTGCCACCAACACCAAATCTACTGCTTGTTTAAAAGAGCATCCATCAATCAAAATCCTATTCCTATCT